AATGTATTGGAAAGTAATGTACATATTTTTAGTTTGACCTCAAAAATGAACTTTTGATGTTACCAAAAAAAATACAAATTTTTGCTTTCATCATCCTATAAAACATTGCTCATCATTTTTCTTCAGTCCAGTCCGTTGGGCAAATTTAAACCTTTCATAATACAATTAATTTGATTTATATAACACTAATCTACAATAGGTAATCTTAAGACAATTTACAAAAAAGTCATTTCCATTCTACTTAACAGTGCAGCAATTTAAATGTATTATTTAAGACAGTAAAAAAAAAAAGTTAAGTTATCCGAGTTAAAAATGTGGATTGCATCATGTCATTGACTTGTTATTGACTTGACTTGTTTATATGTGTCCCCCTCTTCAAATTACTTTTACCCTGTAATGACTGATTTTATCCATATTTTCAGGGAAACCAACATGTACGTATGCTACCTTCTTTCTTTGTTTCTTTATTACTGGGCACCAATGGAGTTCCATAAAGTCTCGTAGTAAAAGTCACATTAAGACACAATCAGAAAGCCTCATGCTGAACCGATTCTCCCCACAACCAACCATCCTCCAACGTTTGTTTATCAAGTCAGAGTTTTAACATGAAAGAAAAACACGGAGTACATCCGGTAAGATTGTTGCTTTATAAGCCACAACAAATGTACATTTTATCTTTTGGTTTTATGTAACACCATGCTAATAAGCTACATGATTGTTGGTAAATAATATCACACCGAACACAAATCCTGATCATCGATCTCTACTGGATCTGCTCCTTTCTTCTTCTGCAGCCCCTGGATTAACAGGAACAACTGATGTTTGTCCGTTCTGTAAGAAAAAAAAAGTTTTGCTTCTTTTACATTGTTTTTAGAGCACACAAATGATACAGTACTTAATAAATTAAAATAAAAGTTATTTAACATTATATTCATTTAGCCACAAAAGGAAAGTTATTAGCTATACTCTACAATTCAGAGGGGAAAAGGTTTTAGACATTTTAATGAGATCCAAATTTTTTCAAAGTTTTGACAAACCTTAAAGTGTCTTCATCTCGTGGAGTCGTTTCAGTGACGTTAGCGTTCGTGGAGGGAAACTTGCTGTCGCTGTTCTGCTTAGTCAGAAAGTCACTAATATCAGAAAAATCTGCTGTCATGTCATGAGCTGGAAAAAAAATCAACAAGCATGTTTGCAAAAATAGAAGTCGCATCGTATTTTCAAAAGAGGAGATATTAAAGACAGGCTAACCTAAATGGCTGCAAATGCAACCGTTGCTGAAAATGAATCAAACTCATGTGAAGCACCGCCTCACTGAGAGGGAATCGAAAGGCTAACATGCCAATCAGGTGCAAGTTGGGCGGATTAAAGTAAGAGAAACCTGATGCTGCATTCAAAGCATGAAGAAGACCAGCAAGCAAAGCATTCACAGAGTGGATGTAGTAGAATATCAGAGTACAGGAGATACAGGATAGAAGATTTGACTGAATCACGATCTGCTCCTCTCTTCTTCTGCAGAAGTTCAGACTGGGAAGCTAACTGGCAACTTGCTAGCCAAGTATGTGGAGCAGGAAAATAGGTTGTAGTTACTTAAATTTATGCAAACCAAATGCCTCAAAAGATTCAATTACTGCAACGTGTAAAAGACAAGTGTAGCTACATTGTGTGATTTTGGCAAACAATATTCTTTTAGTCATCCAAGATATTATTCAATGCAAAATGTATTTGACTTTCTCCTTACAGCAGCAGCATGTATTTACTACACAGATTAAAGATGCATGGTGCCATTACTTGACATAGTGGTTCTGTTGAAAACTTTTTGGTTTGCTTGAGTAGAAATGGAGTAATGTCTGTGTATGATAAAATGTTAAACGTTTACCACCCAAAATCCTCACTATTTTCAAATAGTTCACTTTGTATTTTATTCTAGTTGTTGCAGACTCAACTTAAATAGATTAACTTATATGGCGTCTTTTTTAAATCCAAAAGTTCCTGCCGCTTGTTTAAGATGAGAACAAACAACAAGTTGATGAGAATGAAGTGATGTTCACTTGAACTCTTTAATTAAGCAGAATGTTTTATTTTACAGTGAGAAAGGCCGGAGTCTAGCTTTAGCAGACGGCTGGAGGCATCTGATCCAGGCTTCAAACTCAGTACCTGTTTGCTCTACAGCAAAAATGTGGTAAGATTAAATTTAGTCGACTAAAGAAAGTCAGACGGTTCATTACGTGAGAAATCTCTTGAGATAGTCAAGTTTCTTGTTTGTTCAGATCTTGGTGGTCATTTCCATAGTATGGTTACTAATTAACAGTTGATTCTTTTGTGTCTAGATACAATCTAATCATTCAGTTCACAATTGAAGTTTAATCATCAGGATTCTGCAAATTGAATATTTTCATAGTATATTTCAATCGTTCTTTTCATACAGTCTAAGCTCCCTGAAAAGGAAACATTACCTTTCTGTGAACTATAATTTTGATTGCTTTGAGTATCATGATATTTTATTTAATCTGACTGATGTGATCTTCTTGAACGCATACTGATGCTTCACATTGATCATTTATAAGCTTATCAATTACAAGACATGTACTGTATGTTAATGAACATTAGTGAACAGAGAGCATCAAAAGCTGTAGATAATTTTAAAGGTAACAAAACAATTTACCATGTTGGAGCAACTCTTGGAGCCTGGCTGTGCACTGTAAAAAACTTTAAACTTTGGGGAAAACTGAAAGATAAAAATGAGCAGCAGCCTGATTTAGGCCTGTTTAATCCCCGTCACATATCCTTAACAAATACATTTACAGATGAGGAACTTTTACTGAAATGTATCACACTAGCAAGTGTTACAGAAAATAATCTATGAGTTTCAAATGTACTTAAACCAACCTTTACTATTTTGGAGAAAGCATGAAGCACTGAGAAGATCAGTGTTGATTCAACAACAGGAAAAAGACTGAAGGAAAGTAGAATTCACAATGATGAGAGGACAAATTCTGGAAAGGGATCAATGTTAGAGTTTGTCTCTCACTTTAACTGCAGAAACCTAAAAGTTAAATCTGAGTAGCCTCATGTAGGCCTGTTTACTGCCTGTACAAATGAGAAACTTTTACTGAAATGTTTCACACTAGCAAGTGTTCCAGAAACGTATCTATGAGTTTAAAATTTCAGCGACTGTTTTCGGAACGGATGAAGGAAATTACAGTCAGCACTGACTAGTCGTGCTGCCATAAATATTGCAGTAAAACAGTTAAACTGTTGTTTTCCTTCATAGGTTTCCTTCATAGCTAGCTACAAGTCTGTTGTCCAACACAACTGTGTATCAGTCATCCCCGATGACTGATACACACACACGCAGAAAGACTCTTCCTCCCCTGATGACTGATACAGATGACAGATTATGTGGAAATAAGAAAAAAGAAAGAAAGAGCACCCTTTAATATGGAGAGCCATACTTTAAAACTACTTCACTTTTCTGACTAAAATATGTAACTTTTAGAAAACGTGTTTTTACATATTTGTTAAAAGTGTCATTTTGCTGTGACAGTATGAGTCTGAAATGAGCTGCTCCCGACCGAAAACACCCAATCAGAGCCAGGAGGCGGGACTTAGCGTTGTCAATCAACATCATATACTCAGAAAATATATAAAGTAGTGCTGAAAGTGGAGAAACAACTTAACATTACAGGAACACCTTTTATCTGCTGTAAGCATATGCTAACTAGCCTTAGCATTCACAACAGGCTATGCTAGCTGCAGTGTAGCAGAGAGAAAGGGGGCATGAGCAGGGCCACCTGGAGGGTGATTGACAGTGCTAAGAGCCGCCTCCTGGCTCTGACTGGTTATTTCTAATTAGAACTAGAAGAAAGCAGGAGCTCGATTTTTTTTCACATTTCATCTGTCTCACAACAAACTGTCACAACTTGGTGAAAGTTTCAGAAAATATGTAAAAATATATCTTTATAAAAGTTACAGACTGCATCTTTAATTGTGATTAATTAAGGACTGCAATTAAAAATGTTAATATAATCACTAGTGATCAATTTAATCTGCTCTGTGTTGGTTATTGGACTGGATTTGTTTCTCAGTGTAACAAAGGGTCTGTCTAAATTATTTATATTTATTTATGATTATTGCTGCTGCTGCAAAAAAAAAGTCAACACAAAAAGTTGGTTCATAAAAGTCTTCCTGACAGAAACGATCAAACTGGAGCTAAAACCGTCGGCCTCCCGCAGCACCGAGGGGAACAACCTGGAGAAAATGTTTTAGATTCTATCAAAGACACAATCCTGAAAAGCTGCGATGCGAACCTGCTGCACTTTTACTTTTTATTGCTTAAAAAACATTTCGTATCCATAGTTACGTCTGAGATAAACTGTCGTCTCTGATTTAAGACAATGCCCCAATCTAGTTTCTGCTGAAGGTGCATTAAGGCGTGAATGTCTGGAAAGTCTTGTTGGTAAAAGCTGATGTTTCTCTTGTGGCTTAGAGAGCACAAAGTCAAAGAGCACAACTGGAGATCTGTTAAGCTGTAAACCAGAAGAATGTCAGCAATTCTGCAATTAAAACGTTAGTTAGAAAGCTCCCTCTGCAGTTTATTACTACATTTCAGCTGCTGTTCAGAGTGTGGCCTTTGGTCAAATCTCAAGTTTTTAGCAGCTTCCAACACGCTTTCCTTTATGATTACCCAGTTTTTATCCTACATATGTAATTTTATTTAGTCAAATTCATTTAGGTCTCGGACTTTGTCTCAGTAAACTTGAAGTTGTTCAGAATAACACTGAAACTTACACGAGTTTGGAGCTTTTTTTTAACTTTTTCCCAAACTAGCTTTCAGCTTACAGAGGCTAATGCAGAATTATTCATATCTACATTTCTCCAAATAAAACTCTGAACTAAACTCTCCACAGTAATTTTCTTCCATCCATCATCGACACCGGCCTGCAGCAGTGTCACATTCAATCACGTCTCTCCTTCACGGCTAAAACACAAACAATCACTACGGCTTTAGTTCTTTAAACTATCTAATAACAAAATGTAAAGATTTAGCTGCCAAATTCTGGTTGATTTGACACAATTACCTTCAAACATCTGCAGAGTAATCAGCCGGATCGCTCAGAGCCGAGTAACACTGAGCAGGAAACGTTCAGTGAAACGTCATTCCTACCAGTAAATTATTACCTGGCACACAAAATGAGATGCTAATGACAAGGTAGCACGGTACAACAGAGCGATTTCTTTTTGCACCAAAGTGTTAGAAACGTATAAACTCATTTTCTCTTTAAGGTATTTACAATTTTAATTTGACATTTGTTGTCTCTGTGACTGTTAAATGGATCAGGATGTATTTGCTAATTTACTGCGAGGGAATGAAGGACTTTAGGTTATCTGACCCATCTTATCATGCGGCTGCTTTCACATTGACCTCTGCAGTGTCATAAAACAGCATAAAACAGCTATCAAGATCAAAGCTGTCCTCTTTAACCTTTCTTACCAAAAGGAAAATGACGACATCTCTGTTCAGGTTCACAGAATCCTTGGTGATGAAAAACCATCAAACCATCAAGCCTCTCTTCTGTTTGTTGTTTCTATTATAGTTGGATCTCCATCTATATTCTGCTAATGTTGGAAAAAAAAAAAAAACGGTTTGTGGGAATCAGGTGGAGCCAGCTGCACAACGTCCGAAAACATAAAAACAAACCATCCTCCTCCTCCTGCTGATCGTCGTCTTCACTGTTTCCACCAGCAGTGACATCCGGCTGCAGGACGCAAAAAACACAACTGTTTCCATTGAAGTTTTGATAAATACAAATATTCTCTTTGTCCAATAAAGAGAACCTTTATTGGAAAAAGTGAGGTTTTTTTTATTTATTGTGTTTCCATTGAGCAAATTTATATTTGTAAATCCAATTCTAATTGAAATATTAACACCAGACAAGAGTAAATGCTGAAGGAAGGTTTAGACTAGAGTGATGATTTAAATTCTTTCTTTAAGGGTCTTTTTTTGAGAGGATGTGAAACTTCAGCCTTCATCTGCTTCCTTTCCTGGAGGTCCATATCTCTGTCATTCTTGAACTGTGATTGAGGGCCACACAAAATGATCCCAACGGCCACAAGTGGCCCCCAGGCCACACCTTGAACACCTACACTCTCTACCTTATAACCGTTTATTTCATCCCTGTTGGGAGCAGCTGCCATTCATGATTAATGTCCATGAGTCGTTTACAGCCACTCTTCTTCTGAAATATTTAATGTCAGCCACGCCACAGCCTGTCAGTCAAATTTAAGTTCAGACTTTGACTAGGTCACTGTCTTCTTTTTGGATATTCAGAGGTGGGCTTGGGGATGTGTTTGGGTAGAGAGCAGACGTCATGGTTCAAATCCACCAGCACCATGTTTCATGGTGCTGGTGGATTTTTTTTTAGATTCTTTTTCTAAAATCCTTTGCCAGTTTTATCTCAGCTGTGACTCGAACTCTCCAACTCCAGAAAGCTACTTTTATCTCATTGGTTAACAGAATATTTCCCCAGAAGTCTTGAGGACAAATTGTTGCATTGCATTTCATCAAATCAACTCATTAACTGCGCGGGCGCTCAGTCTCCGACCCAAGTAGAGTAGTTCAAGTATTTTGGTGTCATGATCATGAGTGACAGTAGGAAATCCGTAAAAAGGGGCAGCAGAGACTACTAGGATTCTCTTAAGGATAATGAGCCTCTTTTATTGAATCTGTCTTATCTTTTTCCATGGTTGCATGGTTTGGAAACTAAAGTGTTCAGAATAAAAACTGCCTAAACAAAATTGTTGCTGCGACAAACAAGATAACTGGGATTTCCAACCTCTTCTTACAGCTTCAGCTGAAAAATGACTGTTTCACTGATCTGTGAAAAAGAAATTGAGCTCTTCTGTCTTCTAGGTGCTAACCAGAAACAACCAATCAATGCCAGGAGGCGGGTCTTAGCGCTGTTAATCACAATCTTGTGTGGAGCTGCTCATTCTCCCTCCCCTTGCCCCTTGCTCCCAGCTGCGCTGCAGCTTCTTCCTGTTAGCATAGCCTGCTGTGAATGCTACTACTAATTAGCACAAATGATGGTAGTTGAACGGTTCTCCTGTAACATTAAGTTGTTTCTCCACCATTAGCCCCTTGAGCAGTGAGTACATGTGGATGATTGACAGCCCTAAGTCCCTCCTCCTGGCTCTGATTGGTTGTGTTTCTTCTGACGGCAGTAGCAGCCCAGGGAGGAGGCGAAGGAGATCGAGTTTTCACAAACCTTCTGTCTCATAGCGAACTGTCACAGTGACCATTTTAACAAATGTATAAAAAACATTCTTTATAAAAGTTAAATAATGCAGTTCTGATCGAGGATGCACTTCTCTGAGGTGTTTTTGGAACATTTAACTGGACCGATCCTGGAATGCAGTTACAGGATCTGGGGAAGAGATTACAGCTGCCGGTCTGAGAAAACCTCTGGATCATGCTGCTGGGAGGAAAAACAAACCAAATAATGACTTTTGTTCTCATACAGGCTTTTAGTTTATTTATGACTTTGTTTGCAGGACTTTTTCTTTTAAAAAACGTGCTTTACATGTTTCTTGTGGATATTCCACTAGTGTGAATATGATATACCTTAACTGGGATTTAAAAGCTGGTATAGTCCATTAAGAACAACAACACAAACACTAAATTATTCATAAACTCCACTGCTACTGTATAAGCAAATGATTTCCCCTGTAGTCTTTAAAACACATTCCTCCAGGTCTCTGCAGAACATGAGATTATTCATTCAGGATTTTTATTAATGTGGAAAAACATCTAAAACATGCAGCACAGTGTGTGTGTCCAGAGGGACAGACCAGAAAAACTCTGGTCTGCATTACATCAACAAACCAAAGTTTGCAAAGAACATGAGTCACAAATTTGTGGTAAACCAGCTTTGCACATCGACTAAAACATGTGGCTTGTGGTTTCCGATTCTTCGTGACACAACAGCTTTCTAACAAGCAGACAGACAAAAAAATCATTTTAAAAAACAATTTTATGACAAAGTGAGCTTTTACATTAACAAGATGCAT